TAAGCTAATAACAGATGTTCCCTCAAATAAGTCACGTGATAAAAATAGATTCTTGGGATTAAAATATTTGAGGGGTATTTAAAGTCAGTTTTTTTATAGATAAATTTGTTTAGTCCAGTGATCTTATCAAATCACACACAGTTTGTACGACGGAAGGTATCTTTAATTCTAATAACTTTAAAGACTAATATATAAATTATTTGAAATAAAAAAAACGTCATACTGATCTGCAGTGATTATCCGCTAGGCCGCTAATATCGGGGTGTTCCCACTTAGCCGGCAGGCTTTGATGTCAAATTTTGCCGCTAATCCAGAGTTAATCCTAGAACAATGGTGTTATAAACCATAGTCTATATCTTTTTTAAGACTAAAACTGTATTGATTTTAACAAATTTAACTTTTTTTAAATAACATTAAATAGCTTACACATATAAAAATATATTGATTTTAACAAATTTAATATTTATTAAATAACATTAAATGATTTACACATATAAAAATGCATTACAATTTACACATTTAACTTTTATTAAATAGCATTATGTAATATATAAATAAATGCCTTACAACATAACAATCATTTTACAGCCCCACTAAATAGGAAATATTTGTTCCATACCGATTTACACTTAAAGAACCATTTAATAACTGTGTTTTCAAATGTTCAATTCTTGTATCAAGTTGTCGATATTTCTTAACTCGAGGCCTTTTGGTACCACCAAATAATATCTGTGAAATGGTGATTTCGACATAGGATTGTTCTTGTTTTATTAAGTTAATGAACTTTTAAATATTAGGATGGCATGCTGTCATTTTATTCAACTTAGAATGCCAACCTTCTACATGGTTGGTAGTAGGCCTAAGGGGCCCTGTTGAATCAAAATGGTTCCACACATTACGGCCATTGTTATCAACCCACTGCTCCGTAATATAATCAGCTCATTAACGCTGAACACTAGTGAACAGTTCTTGAGTGACTACTTTTAAACAGACTATAGTTTTAAGATCAATCAAAGGATTAACAGTCTGCCGGCTAAGTGGGAACACACCCTAATATCACATAGTGGGCTTTTATCGGTGCGGGTTAATGAGCTCACAATAATAACTTTTTCCTTCTGCAAATTGAATTGTAGAACAATTTTATTTATTTTTTTATTTTTTTTATTTTGAAGTAATAGCAAAATAACTAAGGTGGTTTGAAGTATATCTGAATAAAAAAATATTATATAAATGAGTATATAAAATGATTGAAAGGCACCAGATCACGCATGTGTAAACATTGCGCGAGCTATCGAGCCAATGATCGACGCCATGTGATGTGATGTCACACGTATAATGAATATGATCTTTATAAAGGTCAGTCATCTTATACAAAGGTAATATTGATAGAGCTTGACTGTTAAAATGTTGTCTGTGTATTTAGTACTCTCCGCACAGCATCCATATCCTGAGGGCTAATGAGAAGCCCCCCCCCCCTTATAACGAGGCCTACGATATAGCTAGCATCCACCAGTTTCGTGGATCCAAGACTGCAACATTAACTTACTGTCAGTTTGGTTCAATATGCTCAAACGGCATTTGTTTGTTACTGGCGGTATTGGGCTCAATGGGGTAAGACGCTGGCTTACTAGCCTGGAGGTAGCGGGTTTGAACCCAGTGTTCTTGGAGAAAGTTTATCGGGATTTTCCGGTGTGGTTTCCTCTTGTCAGTGGTGCAAGACGGAGGGCCTGGCAAGGACTGCGGTCTAGTCGTTCGGATAGGACGAAAAACCGAGATCCCGTGTACACATGGGCGTGTACGTAAAAGATCAATTGGCAGTTGGAATTCGATATAAGAGAAGGCCGTAGCGCCGCTGTTCGGGCAAAATTTCCCTCATAACCCATCTTCATTAGCCCAGTCGGTGTAGGACGTTAAACCCCATTTCATTTTTATTTGGCTCAATGACCCGCCACCCAACGCCAGCCACAGCCACGCCCACACAAGGACGACAGAATAATATGTATAAAGACTTTCCTTTCCCTTCACAAGTTTGACGCAGTGCTAGGCTGAATGTGTTATGGCTTTCCTTTCCCTCACAAGTTTGTCCCAATGCCAGGGCGAATAGCACCAGGTCTCTCCATCATCATCTTGCAATTACAAATTGCTATGTTAGATGACGGCAGGTGGATTCAACACGCACAGTTCAGAACTCATATGCAAGACGGCTGGGCGTTAAAAAAACGCAAAAGGGTAGGCCCTTGAAAAAATCGTCAAAGGTGGGGAGAGTCATGTTTTGCATTTTATTTTTTTTATTTTTTTTTTTTTTAACATAAAGGGTAACATAATGTTTTATTAGATGTCTTGGCAATGATTCTGCAAAAAACATCAAGCTCTTACAAAATTTGTAAAGAGTTTTTTACATATTGAATAGCGCAAAGCCTTAACGCCACTGTAATGGTAAATTTCTCCCACTGCATGCTCAATGGCGTACATGACCGTCTTCATTAGCCCGATTGGTGCAAAAGAGTAACCACATTTAATAACATTTTATTTCATTTCCTCTCGTCTCATATTCATTGAATATGTAGCCGGATCTATTTTCAAAGATTATTTATTGTTAATAAAAATTAACGATATGCTGTCAAACAGATTAAAAAGAGAGTACATTGAATAGATACATTATATCTATATACATTTATATATAGTTACATACAAGGTTTGAATTATATTAAAATACTTCCTTGTATGTGTGAACTTTAGACTGTCGCCTCTCAGTTGCGCCATTCATATAATAGTGTTAAGTAAAAGGGGATTTTATGAAATTTTCCGCGAATATGCACATTCTGTGGATAGCTGTTATCCTGAACTATTTTGATGGGATGGGTTTTATAAAGATATTACCCATTCTCTTTTATATACACATATCAATAAACCCGTTATAAAACATTATTTTATGAAGTACAAATATTAAGAAAGCTTGTATACATACATCTTAATGGATTATGTTATAAATTTCTTTCTGCTCCACTTATCACTTTAATGTAATGTTGATTGCCATAGGTGGTTAATAGCATAGGCGTACGGGCTCGATGAATGTTAGGGGGCAGAACCTTAAATGCCCGAAAAAAATCCGGGTTACAGAGGGCGGCGCCGGTCGCCTGCGAGAGGCTAAGGAGTGGGGCTTACCGCTCCCCCGCCCCTGGTAATTTGGGAAAATTACAGGCCGCAAACGCGTTTTCCTGCTATTCCAGCCCATGAATACAACAACTCCAGAGTGATCTTATATCGCCTGACTTAGATGCCTGACTCAAATACCAAATGGGGGAAGGGGAGGGGCGGGACCGGGGCGAATGTTTAGCGCGGGCGCGTTATATCATAAGGTCTGTCATTGAGTCAACTGGCGTGCAAGGAGTAGGGTCGCCTGTCCATCCTCGTGGGTTTTCTCCGGGACCTCCGGTTTTCTCCCAATTTACTATATATCTACGTACCCTTTTCCAATACCGAACTTATAATGGGGGGAAAATGATGTAGCTGAAATCATATATAAAGAATATTAATATTATAATTTAGTTGCATTGTTATAGAATTGAAGATGTTATTTAGTATCGTTTCTATTTTGAATCATATAGGGGCGGGGATCACGTGGCTAAGTGGGAAAGACGCTGGCTCGCTAGCCTGGAGGTCGGGTGTTCGATCCCTGCATAAGCCGAGAAAGTTCATTCAGATTTTCCGGCGTGGTTTCCCCTTGTCAGTGATGCAGGATCGAGGGCCTGACAAGGACAGCTGTCTAGTCGTTCGGATGGGACGAAAACCCGAGGTCTCGTGTACACATTGGCGCGCACGTAAAAAATCCCTTGGCAGTTGGAATTCGATATAAGAGTAGGCCGTAGTGCCGCAGCCCCGCACAGTTGGTATGTCCCGGGCCCCCCACGAGGTTAATCCGGCACTGGATAGTTCGATATATAATAATTTTTCTATGGACAATCTTAATTTATTAGTTTATTAGTGAGTCGGATATAGAATAATATAACTAGGAACAATAGCATTACGTTTATTGGTGAGTTTTATATAATTATGTAACTATTAATATAACTATTAATAGATATTAATGCAAATATCAATGTAAATATCAATGGGCAGTTAAATAGTTTATTAATGAGTTCCATATATAATAATATACCCACGGACAATTATTTTTATTAGCCCACATTAAATATTCATTAATCATTTAAAAATATAGAACTTTCTTCCCCAAAGAGCTCCAGTTACATGCAAGGAAATATGTTAACAAAATATCTGAATGGTAAACATGTTTCAAATAAAATAAATAAATTTGTTAAGATGAATGATGAACCAAAAACACTTAAAATACAACAGAGTAAGAATTATGCATATCAATTAAAAATAAGTGAGTTTTCAATTCAAGTATATTTTATTGAAAATAGCTATAGATTGGTAATTTACAAAGAAGTTTATTTCATAGATTTGGAGGTTGTGCACTAAAAGTTTTTTAGGGTTTTAATAAAAGGTTGTCAGAACATGATCTGAAGCTTCTACTGGGCCAATACAATTCTAAAAGCTGAGTTGAATAACAGGGCACCATACCATTTAAATACATAAACACCGAAATGAATAATTGTATAATTAATACGAAACCTTACAGGTAATTAAACACAAGAGTGTTTAAAATAGGAGAAATATATTAATTTTGTTTTGTGCATGTAATAAATCGAGGGGCTGAATTTGGTACTTTCTGTAATTCATCGATTAAGCACCGTTCCAGAAATGAAATGAAATGAGGCTTAACGTACAGTTTGAAGCGTGTTTTAAGTATTATGATATTGGTTTCATTAACTAGCGTAACCTGGCTATATAGGTATAACGCAAAGGTGTGTATTATACTCATATCTGTTATACTGTCATACTAACAATATGAATAAATAGGTCGTCTGCTGTTCCCATTTTAACAAGTCTGACTTATGAACTGCTTCCGGGTCTCCTTGGATTGGCTAATAATTTAGTCATAGCTATCTGTGTTGTATAGGAAATGCGTAATCAGTTTGTTTATTCTTGGAAATTAATGTAAATTCTCTCCGAATTTAAACAATATATTCCATTTCGATGCACGACGTTGTTCAGTGAGTATTACTATTAAATGAATGTGTAACAAGAGAGTGTAAACTGCTTTATATATAGCTGTTGTATTTAAATATCTATTGGTTACGAATTGAAAGAGGAAGAAAATTGCACTGTGAACGGGTTATGTTCATTTTACTGTTAAAACGGATTGTTACAGTGATAAGTGTCGAACATGCTTATTATCAGAATAATTATGTCGGTAAACGTGCATAAATCATCTCAGTGTCTGTGAGAATTTATAAGTTTACTTATATTGGATATACAAAAGGCATTTCGACTGAATTGGTTAGTCCCTGACACACAGAGCGATAAGGTGAGTTTGTCTTTGACTTTTTATGTTCAAATATATCTAGACAGAGTATTTTAATAAGGTAAGGTAAATAAAATGTTCTGTTCAATAAATGTGCAAAATTCTAGACCGGTTTTTAGGTGGATAACACAGGGGTTGCTAGGTATCTGCTCACGTTAGTAGATGTGTCGATATACTTCATCCAGGTCAAGTATTGTCTATATCCCTGCACATTGAAATAAGGGTTTCCGGTAAATAGTAACCGGTCTATGTACTATATATTGAACCTCTGGGGGTAGTGGGGGCCCACGGGGAATCAGGTACGGGTCTCTCCATTGAGCAGAGAATGATTTCTCACATGTCAGGGGTAGCGCTTGTGGAAAGCAAATTCTTTGTACACATCCCCATAGAGAAATTGTGTACATATATATTTCGTTGATAGGCATTTAGTAATGGAGCATATCAGTACAAGGTACAATTTTATGGATACATAATTATTGAGTTTAATACTATGCGACATTTCGACGAGGATACTCTCGTCTTTATCAAATGATGTAGACGAGAATACCCTCGTCGAAACTCAGTAATTGCATATCAATAACATTTTGTATCTTGTGTTAGTCATAGGCCTATGTCAGTTTCAATAATGGTCTAATTACCATATTGATGAGATATTACATTGCACCCCTGTCCGTTCATCAAGATGGTATAATGTCCCAGGTTACATCCGAGAAAGATGTTTCAAATAACATAGATGCCCTGAGTGTCACCCACGTTGTAGGGATTGGTGACTCATTGCAGAAAGATCGACATCATTCATTTATTAGGAGAGTCATATACATAACCCTGTCTCTAGTTTTGAATATACATACCATGGTGAATCTTATCACTTCATAGTATTGAGTACGATTAGACGAATGCTACGCAATGCATCCTGTACTAAAGCTGATTGGCTATCTGACTTTTGAGGTTGTATCATCAGGATGCTAAATAATACAAATCATTAAGTTTGAACTTAATGAATTTGAGCTCAGGAATCTCATTGGTCCGGTTTTTGAATATTCATTAATTGACTTGGTTGTATCGGGAAACCCAAGATAGAAATAGAAGGAAATGCAAATGGGCGGACACTTGAACCAATCCCCTTCTTGGTGCAATAGTGAATTCATGCCATATCAGGAAATTAGATAAATTATGGATTTTACCACCACATCGTGAAATATATCTATGATTTAGCAAGCGGTATAAAGTCATACAATTCATTATAGTAGATTGTATCCGCAGTAGGTCAACTATTAAAAAGTTCTTCCTCAAAGAAATGATTGAAATACATTGCATTAGTAATATTATTATATTGATTTAGGGGATATTGCTATTCAGTAAGATTTCATCGTGTAGGTATATTCAAATAATAATTCAATCCATCATTAATTAGGCACACTTGAAATCGTAACTTTTAAAATAGAATCGAGTGTTGCAGAAAATATAAGAGTACCTTTCCTGGTGGATGTATACACATCAGTAATTAAAGTTAAAAGTAGTTAAAAGTACAAGGAATAATACACCAAATATATAAACTCTTCAAGCTATTAAAGATATGTTATGTAAGCTTTAGATAAAAAAAAAAAACCCTGACCGTTCTTGTTATAATAGTTCCAAAATAGATAATGCAAAATGAATACATTGAAAATTTCATTGAAATTACTTTATTCTAAGCGAAGTTATCAATGTTTGTAGTTTTGACAAGATGTGTGCATTGATTGTTTATTATCGTAACCACGGTGCTGGTTATTCCAAGCTTAGCCTCGCTTCTCCATTCCTAAATTAAATCAATAAATGGCCGAACCGTTCTAATCTACTTAAAATCAGAGTCACCGATGGCACCGAGAATTGATTATAGCCTTGCCATGTTAATAAATCTCTAATTGATAAATTTATATAACATGAAAGACTTGCAATAGGCAGATTTAGCTCTTGAATAATGTCTATTTAAATGTTACTATAATAATTTACTGTATGATAAAACGTGGTATAATGTACTCATACAATTTTCGTGTAATCTAATACAAATACATGCAGTGGGCACATTGGATTTAAATTCTGAACGTTTATAATGTTGATAAAATGGATAAGAAAATATTTACAATGCCGTACAATACATGCTTGCTTGCTGATATATATCAATTGCTTCCAAAAATTATTTTGCATTTTATAGGCCCCCAAGACCTTAGATTTTCATATTGACTTTAATGTTAGTTCTATGTGCAACGTTTCCCCCAAATTTTCGTCTTGAGTACCACCGGTACAGTAATGATGCCATCGTGCTCAAAAGTATGTACAATGTATGTAGTTCACCAATGACATCTGAAGATACACAAACTTGAAGTAGCAGTTCAAGGTAACTCAGCTCTGATCTTCAAAATGTACATCAAAAATGTAAAATCAATCCCCTTTCTTCAATTTTACGCAAACAAACGCATTATCTCTCTGATATGTCTTCTAAAACAGTAGTAACTGTGCTTATTAAACATGCATTATGCAAGAGCTAAATCTGTCTATTGCAGGTCTTTCTTTAGGCCTGAAATGTTATCTAAATTATTAATTAGACATTAATTAACCTATCCAGACCATAATCAACTCTAGATGGCATCGCTAGCCTGCGATCTTTAGTGGATTAAGAGCCGATTTACTGCATAACTTTCCATCACGATTTAACGATGAAATGGATAATCGAGACTATGCTGTTTATCGTACTGACTTTAGTAATGATGATCGAGGCTAGGCGGAAATTTCAATCAATTTGAATGAAATTTTCAGCAAATTTCCTTTACATTATCTAGTTGTTAACTATTATAGTGATAACTGCCAACTCGATATCGAATCTCCCATAATGTATCTTTAATCATTGGAACAAATGTCTGAGTTTGGCACACATTTCTAGAGAAAAAGACGCATGCTTATATTTAGAGAGGTTTTTAAAACTTTATTTCGGAGACCAACATCATTCGAGGCCCTAGGACGACCCGGGCTATAATAGAAAGCGTGTAACCAAAGAAGGAGAATGGTGGTCTGTATCCGTGTGTTCATTGATTGTATTAAATGTAGCATGTTGTTGACTAACACTGCACATTCTTTGACTTTTATTTCTATCCCCTCATCTCGTCACGGTTATAAATACCGTCTCGAGCCCAAGGCCCTGGATTTCATGCGTATAATAGACCAATGAATTTCGGTTATAAATACATTACATTACAAGTATGTAATGGTTTACTGACTTAGACAGAAGTACAGAATAGATGAATAACTTTTGTGATAATACAATGTACCATATTATATACTAGTATACATTATACATGTATGACACACTACATATAGCTGCACTGAAGTAAAGTTATGATGTCTCTCATTTAGTTCGATATACGCACCAAGACAATCAACATCATATTGACGTTTTATCACACTACTTTACCCCCGGGTACGCTTCTACCAATTTAGACTGTAGGACATATGAACACAGACATTCTTTAGCCCGCATGTGGGCCATGGGACGAGAGTTTCAAACGGATGGTCACATTATACCCCCATCAGACAGGGGTGGGGTCCTCAGTACGCTGCTACGCCGAAGGAAAATAGTCTCGGGGCGCGTCAACATCGCCATAAGCGTGGTAAAGGCGTGGTGGAAACGTCAGTTATCGTTCTGCGATCTCCATGGTAGCAAATGATCGCAGAGTCACGGCGTTTGTTTTGAGCACGTTCAAAACAAACGCAACGCAAGGTTCTGCGATCTTACCTGGGAATCTGTGAGAACGCAGCTTTTTTCAAGTTTGTAATTTTGGGGGACATTTTCTCGCGTTGTGTTAACGTTTGTTGGCGACCCTGTGCATTTTCTGGTCGCCGTACGGTCGCAGCAGCTTAGTAGGGACGCCACCTCGGTCTGACGGGGGCATAACAAGCAACGACAGTCAATTCATAGGGCCATACCAATTTTATTTTCTGTTCATCGGGAAAACCTGTAAAACATTTCCTTCTTATTTCTTCGGGAAAATACTTATTTAAAAACCAAAAGTGCTTGGATTTGCTGTTCAATGGCTTTTAGTTCTAAATTTTGATGTTTTGACATTTTAAACAAGACATCTGTCGCGTGATTCAATTATCAAGGCCCCAAAGATCAGAAAATCTAAATGGTATGGCCTAAGATAGTTCTGTTATTTATTTTTCAGCAAGAAATATGTCTGAATACGCATCATTTGTACAACCTTTAAGTGACAGAGGTAAGTTGAAGCCACTGCAATTATATTGTAAAATATTAAAGAAATGTGTACCTAAACAACTTAATAAAAGAATATGTTTGAAGACACAAGCCAGATCGGTTGCTCATGTATATCTAAAGTTACAAATGCGCATTATATTAATGCTGAGATTGTTGTTGCTTATGTAAATGACTTGGTATAAAAAAAAAAAACCTTCCTGAATAATGGGTTACTTATTATTAGACACATATAAAGGTGACGGCGTTAAATCAAAAGAAAACGATGTAAACTATAAATGGACATAAAGTAAAATTGAATAAATTTTAAATCACAATGCGGAAGGTATATTCTCTATATTCAACCTATACTCTGTCATTTTGCACCTTATAACCATTGAATGAAATAAATATAGTTAATGACACGATAACTGTTATAAGTAAGCATTGAAAGGAAATATTTGCAAAATTTGGTCTATGTACGAATGACTTCAGAGAACTATGTACGAATGACTTCAGAGAAGGGGATGAAATGAAATAGTGTTTAACGTCCCACGAGGGGGCTAATGAGGATGGAAATACGCCATGCGGTGTGCTAAGATGACAATTTTGCCCGGACAGCGGCAATACGGCCTACTCTTAATTCGAATTCCAACTGTCAAGGGTTCTTTTACATGCACGTCAATTTGTACACTGAACCTCGTATTTTCGTCCCGTCCGAAGGACTATACGCTGTGTCCCTTGCCAGGCCCCGTCCTACACAACCCAAAATGAAGAAGCACGCCGAACAAACTCGATGATCTTTCTCGGCTAATACTGGGATCGAACACGAGACCTTAGGTTAGTGAACCAACGTCTTACTCACTGGGTCACCACGGCTCCCCCTCAGAGAACGGGTGGCTCATGGGTTCTGTTCGACTTTATTGTTGGCTTCCTTTAGTATTTGTGCCCTTTCGTTATTACGAATCAACCAAGGTTCTGTCTCACGTTATAACTCGGTAGTGATATTCAGAACAATAATTTATGTCTGATCGGAAACGTCTCACAATATTCTCACAATGTTAACCGACTATAACTTACCATTCAGTTATACTTGAAGGCCGGAGGACACGAACTTTACATTTCAAACAGAAATGAAATGAAATGGGGTTTAGCGTCCTACTGCCGTGCTCCAATTGAGCTAAGAACGACGGGCATACGTCATACAGTGTACTATGAGGGAAATTTTGTCCTGACAGCGGCGCTACGTCTTACTCTTATATCGAATTCCGACGTCCAATGGATATTTTACGTGTACGCCAATGTGTTCGCGGGAACTTTGTTTTTCGTCCCATCCGAACGATTATACGTTGTCCCTTGCCAGGCGCCCGGGCAAAATTTCCCTCATGGCACACTGTATGGCATATGCCCGTCTTCATTAACCCAGGTTAGGAGCAGAACAGTAGGACGTTAAACCCCATTTCATTTCCCTTGCCAGGCCCTCGGCCCTGCACCACTAATATGAAGAAACCACTTCGGAAAATCCCGATGAACCTTCTCGGCCAACTCATTAAACCACCGTGGCTCCCCAATTTCAAATAGACCTTATGGTTTTCGGATTATATGTCACCCTAAATTATCGTTGATTACGTTTAATCGAAATGTTTGTGGCCGGGATTTCAAACATATTTATGGCTATCCATCATAATATCAAATTATTAAAAAAAACTTTCTCTCTCTCCCAGATTGCCAGTCATTATTAACCGATTCAGACTGTTCTTATAGTGGATGGCTACGGAAATACAGTTTTAGAAACAAATTAAAAATATTTACATGTAAGTAAAGAGTTTACTCGTATTTTATTTCTACCACCGGTCTGCTTTAGTACTGATACTAAAATTTACATTGTATATTGATGTTATAAGATGACATTTATTGTTAATAATTTGGGCAAGACTGGACACTTTAAAATAACCCTTTGAAATTATTAATTCTGTGTGGTTTATGTGAGAGTGTCCAAATAACCTAAGATCAAGTACCGGACGACAGTTGGTAATAAACAGTCAAAGTCGATCCATACAAGTTATCAAAATTCAGTGGACGAAATCGGCAAAACCGTGTAATAAAACGTCTAAAATTCAAATTTAAATCTGTGTCTATTTTTAGTGAATATCTCTGTTTCAGCTATTTCGTTGGTAATAGCTTGCCACGATCCATTAAGTCAATGTAAAACGCCTTGATGATTATGTACATGTTTATTTCTTTTAAATGCTATTTTATTATAACTATATTTTCAGAGCCCCATGCAAGTTTATATTGTATTATGTAATGGATGTGTATAATATTTTGTCATCACTATATTTTCAGGCCCTTGAGTTTATATTGTATTATGTAATGAATGTGTCTATTATTTTGTTATAACAATATTTTTAGGGCCTCAAGTTTATGTTGTGTTATGTAAAGGATGTGTCTATTATTTTGGTAGCGAGTTTGCGAAACGATCGCATTCCTTTTCGTTATATGGCTATAACTAGTAAGTAGATGTCGAAATGTTTGCTTTTTTATTATTTTTGGTGGTTACTTGTGGGGTGGGGGTGGGAATAACTGGAAAAATAATCAATTTAAAGTCCAAAATCATTTTGAATGAAAATATCTACACTTCCTTTTCATATGTCTCGTTTCTCCAATTAACGACACTGGCTGACTGTCGTTAAAGGAGCTAAATCGTTAATATTTGGGATCTAGAAATTGTCACAAATGGGTCGCAACGCATATAATAATGTAATATGAATGAATATAAACGGATTTACATTCAATGGTTTCCGTTTTACTATAATTTCAAACCAGTTATGTTCGGCGAAATACGCCAGAAGTCTCAATCTATTGGCAATCTCTAGCATCTAGTTCTTTTAGTCTACACCGATAGTATTTATTGCGCATGTTCTCCAGATAAGACTATGTCGTCACTGTTTGACATGAATCGCGGAATATGTCTAGCCTCGTTCTTCAAGTCCCTTGTTACAAATGGCGCTGAAACGCCTTCTGGTACACGATTCGTGTACCAATGGTGAAATGTCTATTAGAAGCCCATGTTTTCCCGGTAATATCACAACATCAATGTTAATTTAAATTGACAAATAATTTGTGTTTTCAATGTCGAAGACTTTGGATGATATTGAGTTAGAGACTTCGCTACTTTAAGTCATTATCAGATAAGAAAGAGTTCCGTTATTGTTGCAAAATTTATATATCAACGATAGCCATTTACGTTTAAAGTTATTAGGAATTATGAATATTTTGGGAATAAAGAATACGTTTCAAGTTATTAGGAAATAGGAATACATTGGGAATAAAGAACACGTTTTCTATGGGTGTGGAGAGAATAGCTTGTTTATGGCATGATGTCAGACGAACTTCTATTTACGTTAGGACAATTATGACTTGATAATTAACCACCCATTTATCATCAGATAAATATGAATCTGAGAATATGCAAATCATTAAAGATGTTATGTGATAAAACTTCTTATACTCAAGTCTCAACTTATTTAGTTTGGTGTAAAGATAATTCAATTTGTCTCGTATTCAAATTTCTCATTGCTATTTTTTTAGTATTGGAAAACATTATATTCGCCTCTCCGATAAAGTCAACAAGAAAATTCACTTTAAACATACATTATGCAAGAGCTAAATCTGCCTATTGCAGTTCTTTCTTTAGACCTGAAATGTTTTCTAAATTATTATTAGACATTAATTAACTGATCCATAATCAACTCTCGATGGCATCCGATTTCTCCGATATTAAATAGATTAGAACGGTTCAGCCATATTTTGATTTAATTTAAAAAATGGAGGAGCGAGACTTAGCTTCAAACAACCAGTACGGTGGTTGAAATTATTGCACACGTCTTGTCAAACCTTCAAAGGCAATATTTTCGCTCGCAATAGAGTAATTTGGATGACATTTTCAAATTATTCATTTTACATGATCTATTTTCGAACTATTATAGCAAGAATGGCTAGCCCTTTATCTAAATCTTACATAATGTATCTTTAAATGATAACATATCTTTAAACTTAAAGGGGCAATATGTAATATAAAGAGCTGGCCGTTCTCGCTATACTATTTCAAAAATAGATAATGTAAAATGAATATATTGACAATTTCATTCAAATTACTTTTATTTTGAGAAAAGTTATCAATGGTTGTAGTTTTGACAAGACATGGGCATTGATCGTAACTAACGTACTGGTTATTCGAGTCTTAGCCTCGCTTCTACATTTTTTAAATTAAATCATTGAATGACCATAATCTTCTGATCAAATGGTCTTGTCATGTTAATATATGTCTAATTAATAATTTATATAACATTTAATACCCCCGTCAGACCAGGGTGGCGTCCTTACTTCGCTGCTACGGCAACGGAAAATGGTTTTAGGGCGCGTTAAGATCCCCATAAGCGTGATGGAAACGCCAGCTATCGTGCTGTGGTCACCATGGTCGCCAATGATCGCCGAGTCACGGCGTTTGTTTTGAGCATGTTTAAAACAAACGCCAAGGTTCTGCGATCTGAACTGGAAAGCTATGAGAACACGACTTTTTTCAAGTTTTTAATTTTTTGGGACATTTTCGCGTGTTGTGTTCACGCTTGCCGGCGACCTTGTGCATTTTCTGGTCGCCGTACGGTCGCAGCAGCGCAGTAAGGGCGCCACCCCGGTCTGACGGGGGCATAAGGCTGCAATAGGAAGATTTTAAAGATTTTTTAAGATGAATTTCATTCAATTTTTTTGCAGTGTTCAGCGATGCAATGAATTTGCAGATGTTCAGTGGGTTTTCAAAATCATCCATACACATGCTGAATTTAGAGCATATTACTTCTCCGCGTCATCTGAACGGGAAATGAAGGTAAATATTGAAAACTAATGGGACATTTTGAATTAGTTTTAATAGAGATTTTACAAAAATATTATTTCAGAGCATGATCTATTTTTATTCTAATAATATTCTTTTAATATTTAATATTATTTTAATAATGTTCCGCAGGGAATCCGGAGAAAACCAAAGAGGTTATGCTTGTGATTGTGACTTAAACTTGGAATCGAAATAACCTCCGTCGACACTCCAATTCCCAACCTTTTCAGCCATGTCGCATTTATCTCATAAAACCTAAATATGTTATATTGGCGTAAAGCTGACATATCGTAAACACCATAACGATCCATCTATCTATTCAATAATGTTTTATTTATTTTAAAGAACTGGATGAAAATGGTCAAATATGAAATGGATATAGCTAATCACCAAATAACGGGGAAACAAAGGTGAGTTGTTATACAAATGTTCTTTTCCCTTAATAATTCATTATGTAAGATTTAGATAAATAGCTGGCAGTTCTTACTTTAACAGATCAAAAATAGATAATGCAAAATGAATATATTGAAAATTTTATTCAAATTACATGATGTTTTGACATGATGTGTGCATTGATTATATATTACTGTGACCACGGTGGTGTATTCGAGAATAGCCTCGCTTCACCATTTTTAAATTAAATCATTAAATGGCTGAACCGTTTTAATCTAGTTAAAATCTCGAACATCCGACGACATCGAGAGTTGATTACGGGTTTGTCATGTTAATAATGACATTTTATGTAATGCCCAATGAAAGACTGGAATAGGCAAATTTAGCTCTTGAATAATGTATTTTTAAAGAAAACTAATGCAGTCGTTCCAAAGTCATAATGTATGCACCAATGTGTTTCATTAGGTTGGCTTGGTTAGATTTAGCTTTTGACACTATTAGGAACCAAAATTTCGATATTTGCAGGGGGAAAGCAGATGGAAAAGCTTTTGACGAAGAGTCATTATCGTACCAATATTTAGAAGAAAAAATTTACGGCGACCCTTCTCAATTTGTATTACCCCAAAATTACTCAAATAAACGAAAATCATCTGCAGGTAAGTAAAACATTTTAATAGAAAGATGTCCTTTACGAAAATGTTCATATTTATAAAAAGTGTCTTTTATACAGTTCAACATTTTAAAACGTTTCTTGGGGACAAATATTTATTATACGTTGAAAACAATGAGTAGATGGGAGATTAGAGGAGAGGTCTAACGGGTGTTGCATAGATCATAAGATCTGTCGTTGGCCATGGTTTCCATCCTACACTTGTTTAGCCAGTCTCGCCGGTTTTTTGCGAATAAATGAAACAAAATATACCATATGTTATGTTTAGTTCCGAACTAACCGGACCCCGTGTTATCGCCACCGCGTATGAGCCTCGTGGGTTTTCTCCGGTTCCTCCGGTTTCCTCCCATTGCTAAAGATCCCAACGCGCAAGCGAATTGTTGAAATCTAATTGAACCATATGTTTGTCCCGAAATGACCTATTTTGTGTCGAGTGGACGTTAAACTCTCTCTCTCTCTTTAAAACATCAGGGGATATACATGTATCAAGTATTGTGTTCTATGTTTTGTCTTCTGTAGCAGTAATTGATGGGTGGAAACTGCGTGTTACTATTCCTTAGAGAAAATGCAAGTGTTCATGAAATACAAACGTAGTTTTATTTGACAAAACCAATAGTTACTTAAAGACGATCCTAAGAATACGCTTGGAAATTGTCATTGAAATAAAAGATGGTTGCCATCATGGAGAATATAATTAAATTGCATGAATACATGTAGAGTGCCCGGGAATCCTTCATTGAAATAGCAATCATCATTATAATTTAGATTCCGACGACGATATGGATGGCAGACCACCCCCACCTCCCCCACTTCCCCCAAGACCAACAGGAGATGCCAAAAAACGTAAACGAAGAAACTATGATGCTATTGAAATAGATAAAGTAACAAAAAAATTGAATGAAACTTGTAATATCACAGAGGCAGAAAGCAGGCAGGTGAGAAAGTCTTTTTATATCCTACCAACACCCCACAAAATGTGCACTTGACAAGTATCGTAGTTAACTTGTCCCCGTTGAGTCTTACTCAGTCGTAAAAGAAACCTTCCCACATACAAACTGTGTCATTTGATGCTATATTTGAACTAAACACATATACAAACTAATTTATATTCAAAACTTTGCTTCAAACCCCCTCGAAACATTTTAATCGCAAGGAAGTACCCAAAGTCATAATAATCTATTAAAACCGCGTAGTGACGTGACTTGATTGAGTGAGAGTCCATTTGAAAATTCTTTTCGTCGTTACTCACTTTCCATTTACTATATGGTGTAGGACGGGGGTGGACCGGGGACTGGTAAGAGACAATGTATAGCCTTTCGGATGGGGCGAAACACCGAGGTCCCGTGTACACATTGGCGTGCACGTAAAAATGCCCTTAACAGTTGGAATTCGAAATAAGAATGGGCCGTAATGCCGCTGTATGGGCAAAATATCCCTTATAGCACACTTTATGGCGTATGCCTATCTTAATAAGCCCAGTTGGCGCAGAACAGAACTCCATTCCATTTCATTTCCATTTACCATAAATAAGCAAATTACTCTTTGCTAACTTTTGCCGACGTTTAATCGCCGAGTATGTTCGTTTAAGTCCCATTGTTCTCACGACCGCTAGACATTCGATCAGCACATACCAAGTGCTCCCTACGTAGCCCAAAAAGACAACTAGCCGACAGGTTGCCTGTTAGTGATGCCCTTGCATGAATGATTTTCAGGGAATCTGATATTTTTCTAGTAAGGTTGTGTGTCTCTATACTCTCTCTATATATCAAATTTGCCATACTTTTATTGGACATAACTACCTTATAAATACTTTCATGGGAAAGCGTCTTTAAGATCATTGGGAAGTATGATAACAGGGGCGTCTTCTAAACAAGGAAATGATATGCATAAGAATATCCATTCATTTGAATAAAAGACTGTCCCCATAAGAATCTTCCTGTGAGGTCTATACAATCGGGCGTCTTTAAGACTTATTGGTGTGCCAAAAGGTTAAACCTCGTATGCTCGCCAGTGTCAGAACGTATGAATAGGATTGACAAGGTCGTGGGGTTTTGCACCGTATAACTGATCAATCTACTTATAGTGTTATTTAGTTCCATTAACCTTTTTAAAATATACATAATATTCGATTGTCGGGTTTGTTTGATAGTAGTTCAATTAACGTTGGTGATTACCCCATACTGTCCTCTTTTCCGTCTTTGACTACTTTCATTTTATTATTTATACTTATGTTTCAGACGGCCTCCCAAGTTCGTGAAAGGCAAGTATATTCTACAGCATGGTTATTAAATAAGCTTTCCTGTGTTATTTATGTTTATAAATGAAAAGGGGAGCCACATTGGCTGGGTGGTTAAGACGCTGGCTCGCTAGCCTGGAGGTCGGGTGTTCGATCCCTGCATTGGCCGAGAAAGTTCATCTGGATTTTCCGACGTGATTTCCCCTTGACAGTGGAGCAGAACGGAGGGCCTGACAAGGACAGCTGTCTAGTCCTTCGGATGAGACGAAAAACCGAGGTCCCATGTATACATTGAAATGCACGTAAAAGACCCCTAGGCGATAGTGCCGCTGCCCGGGCAAAATTTCCCTCATAGCACACTGTATGGCGCATTCCCGTCTTCATTAGCCCAGTATAGGAGTAGAACAGTAGGACGTTAAACCCCATTTCATTTCATTTCATTTTATAAATGAAATGGAGTTTAACATACTACTGCTCTGTTACGACTGGTCTAATGAAGACGGGATTTATGTTTATAAATAAGTAGGACGACTGTTTGTCTCACAGTAAATAAATATAGAGATAATACCTTAGATTTTTCTAAAACTGAAATAGATCGTTGGTCATATTGCATTCAATATATTAACAATATCTGTTATTAATCTATATTTTTAGACGAGCGAGACCCGATGGAGCTAGTGTGGTATTTAAAAAGGTAAGTAAGTAGAGCATTAAGCCCATTTAAAGAGAAATTATATCGTTCTTACCAATAAGTGTTAATAATGTCATATTCTAAAATAAATATTGTTAACCATTTGTAATTGCTGAAACTCCTCTAGCTGTGGTTAAAAACCACGGAAAACAAAATAATATCTAAAACGTTCAAATGTATATATTATATCATTGTGATCGATTTGTTTCAAAATTTGAACAACTCCAATGCATATTGAAATCACGCCAAATCGAATATTGATGGTTTAGTATATGTATATATTATATCATTGTGATCGATTTGTTTCAAAATTTGAACAACTCCAATGCATATTGAAATCACGCCAAATCGAATATTGATGGTTTAGTATATTTTATATCTTTATGACTAGCCAATTTGTATTGAATTTTTTCGAGACTAGTTCATGATGTGAATTGTAGAAGTGACGGTGTTGGTCATGCCGTGGCATTCACTTTCCTCTTTTGGCTTCAACAATTCAAACATAAGGATTTAAAATGATTCCTGATTTTAATCATTTGGAATGAATTTGCAAAGCATTAGAAAATATTTTTGTTTTATAGCCGGAGGAAACCGGGCCAATAACCCAAGAAGACTATTGGGGTTCAATTTACTTTGATGAATCTGAAGACACCCGAGAAGCCAGCGAGTGAGTATTATTGAAACATATTCTGGTATTGCCAACTACTGTTCTAATTCTGTTCCCCGATTTTGTTCTTGATTTTGTCCATCCTTACATAATTTGTAAAACATGTCGGTGAATTTAATTAGCGGACCAAGAGAGAGAGAGAGAGAAATGGGGTTTAACGTCCACTCGACACAAACTAGGTCATTTCGGGACTAACATATGGTTTAATTTTATTTCAATAATTCGCTTGCGCATAGGGGTCTTTAGCAGTGGGAGGAAACCGGAGGACCCGGAGAAAACCCACGAGGTTGGACAGGCGCCCCTACTCCTTGTCACGTACAACCGGGGATTCGAAACCACGCCAGTCGACTCAATGACAGACTTTATGATACAGCGCGCGCACGCTAACCATTCAGCCATCCAACCCCCCAGCGGACCAAGAAGCGAAATTGTTACATTTCTATAGTTTAGATTGCAGAAAATTTCGATGGGGTTTAAGACGGGCATGCGCCATACAGCGGCACTGTGGCCTACTCTTATATCGAATTCCAACTGCCAAGGGATCTTTTACACGGGGCCTGAGTTTTTCGTCCCATCTGAACTACTAGACAGCTGTCCTTGTCAGGAACTCCGTCCTGCACCACTGACAAGGGGAAATCACTTACCAACCATGGCTGTTATTCCTGTATAAACAATAGATTAATACTACTGATACTACTCCTATTATTTATTATTATTACAGAATATTTACAGTGCACCCTTTCAGTCATCCTCCGTATCAGCAGTGGTCTCATTCCGTTCTATTCCAATGGAATGAGACCACTGGGGATACCGAAGATGTCTTTCACTACACGTGTTAGGCCATACTTTTATATCACCATAAACTAGACGATAAAATATTATAACAAAATTGATGGGCGTATATACAGAGTCAGTTAAAAGCTTGTTTAAATAAATTGTATACTTACACTCATAAACACTGTATATACTTTCAATTACACTGGTTTTGTTTTCAGAATAATAAGAAATATAGGTGAAGATGGCGTGTATCTGGTTAGAAAACGTAAAGATGGTTCGGTGAGAGGTTTTTGATTATTCATACGTTTAAATTTCAGTTGCATACAAAATAATACATTCTGTCAATGGGATAATAGTTCAAACAGGACGTCCCACACACATCAAGGGAGATAACAAGTTTCTGTGTCGTAATTACGCTATAAATACCTCACACATTTTTCCTCCTTTTGACTTGGAAGTTTTAAAGAACTATGCATCTTTTCAAGGACACTTTCGGTTGACTGTAACCCGGTTGTGTTTTGTTTTCTTTATTAAACTCAATTTTCAATTTTCAGCATGTATTGGCTTTCTTTGGAGGACTTATACCTAGAAAGATGGTGATACAAGAAAAGGTAAATGAGATTAATTATTATCCGTATATTGATAAATTCTGTACCCTCGGTGTTTCCTTGATCTTTAACTACGACGGATATCATACATACATGCATGATTGTGCCAGATTGATCTGAAAACTTTGAAACCATTGTCAACCCCACCCCTCTCCCACTTCCAAAAAATTCCCAAGCTTAATAGAATTATTGAAATATTGAAATAGAAAGTTGTCTTATTCTTCCGAAATGAAATGGTTACAGGCTCTCGCTCTATCGACGTGGAAGGACAGTTTTGAACGATCACGAGACAGCCTTTTCTTGCGTGTAGACTACAAAATGGCGGTCTATAGGCCTACTAAGTTATTTAGAAAAAAATAATTAGGGCGAATGACACCCTCACTTGTATTCCACATTTAAATTAAAAACTAATCATTTCTGTTCCAGGATGACAAATATTTTCTCAGTGATAAATTTCTTGCTGACACCATAGAGGAATTGGTTTATCATTATTACGAAAATAACTTACCAGTATCTAAATTGAAAGTGAAACTAGAAACGCCCTACAAACTACATCCAAAATATAAATCTGTATGATTCCTTCAAACTGTGTTTATCTGTGATAATGGCTTGACTGAGATAGTGTACTTTAATAAAGATATTTTATCTGATTATATTTAGTGTAAATGGTTGTTCTCAACAGCAGTGCTTTAATCAGAATATGGCCCTTCAATACAAGAGTGCACGATAGTCTTGCATATGGAATGACTTTTTATTATTATATATGGCACACAGTTCTTTGTTTTTTTGCACAGACGCTTCCTCTTTGACCTTCCATATTAAATGTGTTTGAACAAGGTGTTTAATCTCTTTGTTTTCAATGAATATTTCTATGAAGAAGAAGAATTATGGATATCGTAATAAAATAAACTGACAAATGGAAATAGTTATTGTGTACCAAAGTATATAGGACATATCAAATATGCAAACACCTATAATGACTAAGCAATATTATGCGATTATTCGTAGGATTGCCATTGATTATTTCGTATCAACTCTGAACTTAGTTGAAAGTGCCTTCGTTTGTGGTGTCGCTTTGTTGGGGAGTCGGCGATTTCATTGAAAGAGTTTGGACTTGTGTCGGACTGAAACCGCCACATTGTATCTGTAATTAGCTGTTAAAAGGAATGAATATCAGTACCAATTATGACTCATTTGTTAATTACCTAGATGTAGGTAGACCGTTATTTCACCTAAAGTATATTGTTTGTTGGTGTATTCTATATGGAAATCTAATGCTGGGGCTTATTCGATTATGTGTGATATACGCTGTCATATGTATACACATTTTATTACAATTATAACATTACATATAGATGGGGTTGTGTCGCATATTCTTATAATATACATCCAATGAAATTTTACCCGAGCAGTGGCTTTTCCGTCTTCTCTTTGAATTTCAACTGCCAAGGGTTATTTTACGTGCACGCCAACGTGTCGAGTTTTCTACAGGGAGCACGCATACTCTACTTCATGCATGACACACCTAAATGGGCAATAGTTTTGTCAGCCAAAGTATATTAGCTATGTTAACTCCTCAAGTGCGAAACAATGCCAGGTGTAGGCATACTATGCCTCGTGCTTACTATTACCTACATAGAGCGATGAAGTGGATTTACTGGCTCGTAAAATAAAAATTTTGAAACGAAAAGAACCTTTCAACCACTTTTATGATTCAAAGGTTCCGTTGTAAGAAAATTTTGAAATTCCCAAACAAATAACAGGAAGCTTGTGACGTAACAATTTCGGACTTAGCCATAATTCTTAGAACCGTACGTATATAGGCATAGTCAGCTATACACCCCCAGCTCGAACAGATGCAGTACCAGCATATAAAATTTATGTACATAATGACATAAAAGGCTTAGATCGACATACTTATATTTCCTATCAGTATACAAAATAATGATGACTCTACTTAAACATACATTATGCAAGAGCTAAATCCGCCTATTGCAGGTCTTTTTTTAGGCTTGAAATGTTATCTAAATTATTTGTAGGGCACAAACAACAATGCACCAAAACTCTTAGAATATTGTTTAATTTGGTAACAGGTTTAATACATCTCAAATCTTATACAGTTGATCGAAGATCGAAGATCTTTCACAAGACTAGAGACATAGGCTACATATTAATAAATAATGATGACGGTGGTGGTGATGGTGATTAGAGTAGAGGTGGTGGTGGTGATTGACTGAAAAGGATAAATAAACCAATCAAGCACCTGACAATAATTATCAATAAACTATCTTAATAAAGAAACATAAAATAGCATCGAGTGCCTAGAATTTTCTGAGACCTGCACAACCACGTGATAAATCAGTCATGCATGTCGACTGTCAATATCATCGAATAATAACGATATATGACTATAACACATTACAAAACTTATGGATTAGATTAAACTATAACTTAATATGCTGCGGTAATTCATCTTACCGTGTTTTATGCCCTCCAAGCGTTACAAAACTGATGCTGAAGACCACGCTTGCTTAAGCCATAGAACTAAATACACTGGAACGCCAACGAGCCCGTTAGAGCGAATTATGCTCGTCCTCGCATGCGCGAAGATAAAAGTGCCATGTTTACTTCCGGTAGGCCTGAGTACGCTTTGGCGGAGTATTTGGATTTCCAGTTTATCGATGTCATTTTAGACGTAAGTGTTGGCTGAATTTTCTTAAAATAAATATTAATTTGGAAATATTCCAATGAAATACAAAATAAAATTCTGTTAAATGCTCATTTTTCATTCGTAATTTGTATTTGAAAGTAGCCTTTGGCTTGTAAATTGTATAGTTCGGCAAGTGCCGGTGTCAAATCATGCGGCAATTATTAATTCATGAGAGAAAAAATAAGCTTATCAATTTAGAATAAATCATTGGCCAATTATATTTATTCCCAAAATAAGAATTAATAAAAAAAAAGTCTATAGATTTCTGTAGTACCCATTCTATTCCTACAGAAAACTGTAGTGATCCAATTGCCAAACTACAGAATACTACAGTACTAATTCCTATACGAGTAATACGGCATAACTCTAGAATTTTCCTACAGAAAATGCAATAAAAAAAAAATCTCTAGGAGACTATAGTAGATTGTCCTATAGAAATTTTGCCAAAAATCTGTAGGAAAAACAATAGGATATGCACACGTAGAAGGTGTTCTGATTTGATAAGTAGGTAATTTGTGATATAGGCCTAACTTAGTACCTATTTCCTAAAACAGTGATCAGCTGTCAAAAAAAGTCACAATATGCAGGCAGAATTCTCTGCGCATTTTTATGAAGATTTGTAAATGTAAAATAATACTACTAGGCCTTGTAATATATTCCTACATATTTCTATAACAGGGTGATCAGCTGTCAAAAAAATAAATAATAATTGTGATGTGCAGGCAGAATATGTCACTGCATTTTTTGCAGATTTGTAAAGTTAAAATAATATAGACCCACTAGGCCTCATTATGCCCTGTCTATTTCTAAAAACAGTCATAAGCTGTCAAAAAAAAAGTCACAATATGCTGGCAGAATTCTCTGTGCATTTAAGGAAGATTTGTAAAATTAAAAAAATACTAGGCCTTGTAATATAGGCCTACATATTTCTAAAAAAAAAAGGTGATCAGCTGTCAAAAAAAAGTCATGATAAGCAGGCAGAATATTTCACTATTTTGTGAAGATTTGCAAAATTAAAATAATATAGGCCTACTAGGCCTCATTTTTATATAGGCCTACCTATTTCTAAAACAGTGATCAGCTGTCAAAAAAAAGTCAAAATATGCAGGCAGAATTCTCTGAGCATGTTATGAAGATTTGTAAAATTAAAATAATACTAGGCTTTGAAATATAGGCCTACATATTTCTAAAAAAAAAAAAGGTGATCAGCTGTCAAAAAAAAGTCATGATAAGCAGACAGAAAATTTCACTGCATTTTTTGAAGATTTGCAAAATTAAAATAATATAGGCCTACTAGGCCTCATTTTTATATAGGCCTACCTATTTCTAAAACACTGTCAAAAAAAAGGTCAAAATATTCAGACAGAAAATTTCACAACATTTTGTGAAGATTTGCAAAATTAAAATAATATAGGCCTCATTTTTATATAGGCCTACCTATTTCTAAAACAGTGATCAGCTGTCAAAAAAAGGTCGAAATATGCAGGCAGAATTCTCTGAGCATGTTATGAAGATTTGTAAAATTAAAATACTACTAGGCCTTGTAATATAGGCCTACATATTTCTAAAAAAAAGGTGATCAACTGTCAAAAAAAAGTCATGATAAGCAGGCAGAAAATTTCATTGCATTTTGTGAAGATTTGCAAAATTAAAATAATATAGGCCTACTAGGGCTCATTTTTTATATAGGCCTACCTATTTCTAAAACAGTGATCAGCTGTCAAAAAAAAGTCAAAATATGCAGGCAGAATTCTCTTAGCATGTTATGAAGATTTGTAAAATTAAAATAATACTAGGCTTTGAAATATAGGCCTACATATTTCTAAAAAAAAAGGTGATCAACTGTCAAAAAAAAGTCATGATAAGCAGGCAGAAAATTTCATTGCATTTTGTGAAGATTTGCAAAATTAAAATAATATAGGCCTACCTATTTCTAAAACACTGTCAAAAAAAAGGTCAAAATATGCAGGTAGAAAATTTCATTGCATTTTGTGAAGATTTGCAAAATTAAAATAATATAGGCCTACTAGGCCTCATTTTTATATAGACCTACCTATTTCTAAAACAGTGATCAGCTGTCAAAAAAAAGTCAAAATCAGACAGAATTCTCTGAGCATGTTATGAAGATTTATAAAATTAAAATAAATTGACATTTACAGGGAGGAAGGCGTTTGCCCACTATCAAGGAGATGTTTGTTGAGAAAATTGCCTGTTTTCCCTTTTTGTCAGTGGTGCATCAGGTAGCATTGCATATACTGTATTATGGAAGCATGAAGGAGTGCATTAAATATCAAAACTAAGTTTGGATTGGCACCAAGTACTGTGGATCAGAATGAAATAAATTTTTTTTATTAAAAGGAAATAATAAATTTGAAATATGAAAAGTTGTGGATTTAAACGTTATAATATGTGTATTTGCAATATAATAGAGACCCACAAAATGTAAAGACATAGCTATTCTGAACTATGCTTATAGTGAAGTGACACTGTGTGACGCTAATGTTTTTAGGATCTCGAAAATTTGCCCAAGAAAATATACCATAGTTGCATTCACATTGAACCTTAAATTTGTATAAATTTATGACAATTTCACACATTTGATCAGAGAGAAAAGTTATCAGATTTATGCATATTTTCATTCACCCTATTGTAAATTGTGATCCGTGTGTCAAAGTTACAATAAATGGTTTTATGTAATCATAGAGGAGGGAGTGGGTAAATTTTACAGTTTACTGAATACACCTGTACCAGTACACACAAGAGCTGCATATCTTATGAATTGAATAGAAATTGACTTTAAACACATTGAGGAGAATTCATAATTTCATTGAGTGGACAAGATAGACAGTCTCTATCCCTAGTACATTTTCAAAATATTCACAATAATCCAATGATTTCATTCATTATATTTATTAAAATTATTTCCAAAAAATAGAATGTGTAACTGAAAGTGTATAATGTACAGTCAGTTGATAGCTGAGTCTATTCCAATTTTTCACAAGAAATATATTTCAAAGTCTTTCAGGCACTCGCATAACAGCCTGCTTTTCATTCAGTGCAACAACTATTTTAAAGTTAGGATTTAGGGATGAATCAACACTCAGTGCGGGTGGTTATTTAGGAATTATATTTTATTGTCCTTCTTCCATGTTAGAAATTCCTTGTTCACATCAAATGAAAGTTCTTCATAAAATTAAATACAATGGCTTTTGTATTATTGGTCTGAAAAAAAAAATACATATTAATTATTAGTAGTAGTATGTTTGAACATAAAATAGTGTTTCTTCAGGGATTTCTGTGTCTACAAATTACAAATAAATTTTACAGTTGAATAAAGAGAAATGCAGTTTTAGTTATACTAATATAATTTATGCATAAATTAAAAAGGCAGTTGGTGTCAGACTTTACAGATGGGTTTATATTCAAATCAGACTCAATACCAAGAAAGTACGACCGATTTCAGGTAATGCCATGGGAATTGGCACAAGTAAAACTTTCTTCAATCAGCATTGTTCACTTGATAGCTCTTTAAATTTACTCAAACAAGGCCTTAATTTATATACAAATCCACTCCTTCAATGACACAAATCTGATATCCTTTTCTTCTTGATTATCATGTGAATTTTTTCACAAAGAAATAATATTCAAAAGGAAAATTCCATTTGTACATTTTTCTTTGAATTAGATCAAATAATTTAAATTTAAAAACAAAATACCAGTATTCATTTTTTTGTACTTTTATTTTATTAGTTCCCCAATATTGTAAAATTAAAAGTATGGTTGTGCTCACTGAAATATTACTAAATCAACTTTTTGAAATTCATTCACATTCCTGACAGGCCTATAAGTCTATAGTAAACAAAAGGGTTTGGTACGTAATTCCGTCCCCGACTTAAACCAGTCATTACATTATTATTTTGTAAATCGATTCATTTATGTTTTCTCAAAAAAAAACGATGACTTGATTGTATGAATTATAGGCCTAATGACATTAGTGAATTTTCAACATACCTGTTTATAAAGACAGTGCGCAGTTTGTAAATTGTACTGTGCTGGCAGCCAGTCGACGTCGTCGCTTCCAGTTCTTCGTCATTTTACAACTCTCCCTGTTGCATTATTTATGACATTTTTTTTTTATATCAATAATAAATGATGAAAATTTATGCATTCTTAGACCAAAATATTGTGGAACGAAATTAATATTAACGAAATATACAAAAAGACAATAAGTAATAATTTGCATCTTACATTATTAATTAGGCATTAATTAACTTATCCAGACCATAATCAACTCTCGATGTCAACGCTAGCCTGTGATATTTACTGGATTACGATCAGATTTGCTGCTTAACTTTCATTCATGATTCAATCATGAAATGGAAAATCGAGACTATGTTTTTTTATCGTACCGACTTAAGTAATGATGATCATCGCTAAAATCTCGGTTCAAAGTAGATCAATTTGGCTGACATTTTCAGCAAACTCCCTTTACATTATCTAGTTTTTAACTATTATAGTGAGAACTACCGGCTCTTTATCTAATCTCCCATAATGTAGCTTTAAATTAACTTTTAAAAAACTTTCTAGACGCACCCTTTAAAACGTCACACCACACTCAATTATTGTTAAGTGGAAAAACCAGTTCATTTCGACATATAAAGTAATCAGATTGAAAGATTTGATTGTATAGATAATAATGTCATTGCTGCATTTAATCATTAATTAATGGTAGAACTTTTCTAAAGGTTATCTGTCTTTTGTTCATGGCGAACAGTCCATTTGCTGATTACAATATTTTGCCGATAGCGTTTTTTTGGGACTTCGAATTTTGTCTAATGGCTTGGATTATTCGTATTTGTTTTTATTATATCTAAATTTCCTGACGAGCTGGAGACAATATATAAACATATAGCTTACCAGCGGAAGTGAAAATTACACACGAAGACCTTTTTTGGTGTAAAAGGGGCCCTATCAAATGAAACAGCCAGGAATTAAAATGTGGTCATGTTTTTAAATCTAAATTTGGTCATCCAGCGGAACTGTTGAGGGGGGGGGGGCATTTATTCCCCCCCCCCCCTTTCCGTTAGATCCGGTACTGTTCCAGGGGCAAATACCGTGATGGATAGTTGTCTAATGGCTTGGATTATTCGTATTTGTTTTTATTATATCTAAATTTCCTGACATTCTGGAGACAATATATAAACATATAGCTTACCAGCGGAAGTGAAAATTACACACGAAGACCTTTTTTGGTGTAAAAGGGGCCCTATCAAATGAAACAGCCAGGAATTAAAATGTGGTCATGTTTTTAAATCTAAATTTGGTCATCCAGCGGAACTGTTGAGGGGGAGGGGCATTTATCACCCCCCCCCCCTTTCCGTTAGATCCGGTACTGTGCCAGGGGCAAATACCGTGATGGATAGTTGATATAAAACGCCGGCATCAATATAATATGCAATATTACTATGTCGAGTACACTGAACAAAATTTCGATCGTTCGAAGCATGGTATCTTTAGATGATTAGATCGTATAAAATATAATTGAAACTATGCAGTTCTTTGCGCATGACAATTTGAAACATCGTTTTAAATGCCCGTTGTTTGGGAACATCTGATAGGCTAATATGAGGCGTGGTGAAATGGGGTTTAACGTCCTACTGTTCTGCTCCTATACTGGGCTAATGAAGACGGGCATACGCCATGCAGTGTGCTATGAGGGAAATTTTGCCTGGACAGCCACACTATCGCCCACTCTTATATCGAATTCCAACTGCCAGGGGATCTTTTACGTGCATTCCAATATATACACGGGACCTCGGTTTTTCGTCTCATCCGAGGGACTAAATACTGAGTCGTTTGGACGTGAACGTCAAAAATGCTTATCCGGACACGTAACCCTTTTAAGATTTCGGGTCAGTTTTTTCGTTGGATGACCTGATGATTGATTCCCGTTCCTTGAGAGGTCTATATAGTGAATGACCCATGTGCTCTACTTGATAACGAAAGGTAAATTTCACCTACACATTATTATTATAAAATAAAAGTCTAGTTTTATGCAGACACCGCATAATACAGCTTGGGACATTGGTCTCCATTTCCAGATGAAGACTGGCGGGTTTAAGTTGTTTGAAAACGTATCACAAACAGTGAGTTAGTTGCTCGGCCCTTAGCAAGAGGAATTTAAGGGATTTTAACACAAAATTAAGCAGTTTTATTCTGCAAAAAATATCGGGATTAGCCCTTTAATAAACATCATTGCTTGATAACGGTGAGAGTATCCTCATTGAAACGCTGCAGTTAATAAACTTAGTGAATGGTATCCATAAAGTTGTCAGTTTATTATATATCCCGTTCACTAAATGCCCTTCAAAGAAAATATATCATTAACATAATTAGAACGTAATGTTGTACTATGGAACCAGTTATCTTTACTATCAAGGAAAATGTCCTACATTTTCGTCAATTATTGTTGATAAGATCATGTCGATATCTCTTTAATAATAAGCGAGACAATATCTAATGATATGAAAACTGGGAATGTGATCTTGTGCTATGCTATAATGGAAGAGAAACTACTTGACTTTTAAGAAATATTTTTTGTGATATCAGGTAAATGATCTTATTGTTATTCTTATACCAGAAATGATGTACATTGTATATGGTATATAATATCAGATTAATTGTCCTCATGATATGGCAAGTCGTCTTGGTTTTCTTTGTCCTGGTTTCCTTCTGCGAACGGCGACTTGTATAATATACTAAACAGCAAAATAAAATATATAAATTATATAAAGATTAGAATTGACCTGGTTGTTTTCTCAAAGTGTGCAGGACCGTTATGTTTTTTTTTTTAAAAAGGTCCAGACCGTTATTCCCGTTGGTTATGCAGTGACAGTGACGTATACGATACCTATTATGCTTATTAATTGTTTAGGTTTAGGTCCAGTTTAATCCTATATCTATGTCAATATGGTGGTGGTGGGCGTAATATGTTTACTTAATTTAAAATAATAATGCCTTTGGGCTTCTTCTTCTATTTTTAAGTGATTGCGTAAAAATGGGCAGCTTAGAATCCCTAATTAGAGGAGTCTTTAATGAGGACGCCACACAGAGTTGTGGTTGCCATCAGCCAAACAGAACTGTTGGTGATGATAGTCAAGGACGAGAAACAGATGGTGCTTATTGTCAGGAACCATCAAGGCCGGTGAATTCATGTAATTTACACGATGAAGATGTCTCCTCCACAGCTTGTCCCAGTAGCAGTGTTAGTACCTCGGTATATGTTAGTGGAACTCCAGATTCCAACATAGTTCTATGTTCAGATGAAAACAGACGCGACAAACAAAGTCATCCCTGTGATGATTGGGTGTGTAGTATGTGCACCTTATGGGGCTATATATTCTGCTTCAACAAAATGACTCGATACAAGCGGACAGAAATCTTATGGATGTGGATATCAGTGCTGTCGGTTTTCATTGGTTTGGGTATTGCAGTTGGGGCTTTCGGTGTAAATGAATTTGAGGCTGCGCCATTGGATATGCGTATCATCAATCATAAATATTCAACAATTTTTTGTTATACGTTGTCTTTGCAGTCGGAAGCCAGGTTCAGAGCTTATCGATTCACCAGAGATCTAAAACCCAGAACACATAAACGACCATTTTATAAAGCAGAATATACAAAATATATTGATAGTGGAGACTACTTGTACTACAATTTTTATTTTTTAGCTGGCTCTTCCGTTACTCTTATTAGCTGTTCAGACCATTTGGTGGAATTATACGTCATCAAAGGTCAGGGATATTTTGATCAATGGAAATCTAATAAGAATTGTTCCGGGTGTTACTTAGCTACGATCCCCGTAAAAGTCAATGGCTGCTTTCTCAATTACAACAATTATTCTTTATCGACTCATGAAACCGACACATACTTCTTCGTTTTTATGAATCGTAAACAAAGTACTTGGGTAACTGCTAAATTTGGTATTGCAAGAGTGTTTTACAAGTTGGCTTACACAACTCAAATGTGTGTGAGTAAATTAGGATGCCGTATACCAGTTGAATATAATACTGATCAAAGAATTGTGTATCATATGACACCAGAGACTGCACAAAGTACAATACGCATGTCTTCTACGTGTGAGGCCCGGTTATCAATATTTTTGACTATATTCGCTCTTGGACCAGCCATTATTGGAATGATAGTGTCTCTGGTGATATATTTTGCTTGCTCCGATCCCGAACCCGAAAGGATACTTCCTAGACGTAGAAGTGTGAATTTAATTATAAACCGACCACCAGAACTGCTAGATGAAGAATGCACACCATTGTTATGGGAAACCATTTCTAGTGATCCACCGCAATATGACGATATTAATATATCAGCACGTTGTCCTGAGCGTCCGCCATCTTATGAGGAAATTGATAAAGATTAGGCCACGTACGGACAAATGACAATTGATTTCGTATTTGCAATAATATTAATGTTTCGAGAAATGGATGGTGCATTGGATGATTAGAAGTGGTGCATTGCATCCCGGTTATGTTAATATAAGGCAGTAAGCCTACTCATTATTTCATGCTTTTCAGCGAATGATATCTTTTTTCACATTAATCAGTTAAATATGCTAAATGAATCAAAGACAGACTTTTGTTCTGCAACTGTTCAGTTATACGCGTTGGTGAAAATAAATTGACGCATGATATGTAAAAGGTTGGTCATCCTTGATTTAAAGATACGTGACCTTGCCGTTGGACTTGGGTTAAATTTGGTCAGCTACTGCTACCCCAATTTTCTTTTAAAATAAAATTATATTTCTTAAGACCTAGAGATTAGTAGGCTAACGCTGAGTGAAGAAAGAAAGAAATCATAACCTGTGGTTAAAATTACGATAAAATTCCCCAATCAAATCTCGTAATTTATCTTTTCCTTAACTCCACTGAACCCCACCTGGTTTTGGTAGTGTATGTTATAGGCTTCTTATCACTACATAAGCACGTATTTGTTTTGTTTGAGTACATACTTGATAAATCACACATGTTATTGACAATGTTATATATAAAAAAAAACATATATATATAATGATAAGCTTGTGTTTTGAGACTCCGGCCCTTATAAGATGTTCGTATTAACACTCCCTATTAGGGTTTGCTGACAGTTAAAGTGACTGACACTTGGAGCTGAGACGGGGTTATGCTTTGGCAGAGGAATGGAATACCTCTCTTATAATAGTGCATGATGTACCGCGTTTAATTTGTTGTTAAGGTTCCTGTTTGATTTATGTTCCTGTTGTATATATGTTTCTGTTTCATATTCGGTTCTCGATGTAAATAGATATTATATTTCCTAAACCGATACTCTGTTATCTGTAGTGTTAAAAACTCTTGATTTGCAAATCCAGTTATTATCTTGAAGTAACTTGGTAGAAAATGACAACTGGCCTAGGGCCAATAGCACCAAACTTCAAGTGCTAAATGGGGTTTTGCCTCTAATTAACATAATATTTCGGTATTTTTTATTCGCCTGGTTACATATGCAATGCGATTGGGGCGACACAATTTTGAAATGACCGTGACATTACAGCCACCATTCACAAAAGTACAACAAAAGCTTGTTTGAAGGTTTAAAAATTAAAATTTTTCATAAATGAAACGGGGTTTAACATCATACTTTTCTGCTCCGATTGAGCTAATGAAGACGGGCATACGCCATGCAGTGTGCTATGAGAGAAAGTTTGCCTAGACAGCGGCGCTACAGTCTACTCTTATTTCGACTTGCAACTGTCAAGAATTCTACCAGACCTCGGGTGTGTCGTCCTATCCAAACGACTATACACTGTGCCTTGCCAAGGGGGGACCTCGTCGGAAAATCTAGATAAACTTTCGCTGCCAACACCCGGATCTGACACGGGAACATCCAAGTTAATCTTACGCACTTAGATACCGCGGATCCAAATTTCGGTCCAAGAGGTTTCGTTAAAGGTCAACTGCCTAACAGTGACAACCCTTCACTAGTACTGGAATGTACTAGTGTGGAAATCCCCCAGCCGTTATTATAATTTTAATATAATTAATCAGTAACTCTTTCACTCGCTATTCCTGCAAGCCAGCATTGGTTAACAACGTTAATCTACTCTATTGTTTTAATACGCCCACATATCGTCGTCGCCCCTGTCCGCCCGTGTGTTCGTCCGTCTGTTTGCATTTTGTTTGTGGACAGTCTACAGGTCACAATTTTTATCCGATTTCAACGAAACTTGAAATATAAGTGTATCTCTCAAAGATCTCCGATCCTGTCGAAATTAGTATGTATCGGACCCTCACTTCATGGATTATGGCCCCTGATTGTACGATAAATGACGTTTTTAGCTTGTGGACACTCTAGAGGTCACAATTTTTATCCGACTTTGATGAAACTTGAAATGTATGTTTATAACCCAAAGATCTTGGTTCCTTTTGCCCACATCGGTACGTAACTTCCTGGATTATGGCCCTTGATTGTACAAAATATCTTGTTTTTAGCTTGTGGTCCCTCTAGAGGTCACAATATTTATCTGATTTAAACACAACGCTTGAATATATCACCGTTACACCATTATGATGGTTCACTTCGAATTTCGTGAAAATCGGACCGGAACTGCCGGATAAAATGGCCACTCGGACCGTAACTTCCTGGATTTTAGCTTGTTCTCTGTCCATCCCTTGCAAAATGTGGGCATATCTTGCCTGGCAACCACTAGTTGTTCATCTATTACATTGCATCATCATCTGTATTCTTCATGAACATTAGTTATAATATTATTTTTTATCCTATCATTTAATTTTCTGGTATGTTACGAAATTGTACATTGATCAACAAGTCAGTATCATGGCTTGCTTGCGGAACTGTATGACGTTATATAGATTGACGTTCCGATATATTAAAGAACTGAAGCGTCATCCTTTACATTTAAAGGGAATTTACACCCCTAGTAGACCCAGCATATCAATCGCAAATGATTTAAATAGATCAGAAACAAAGAGTAGCATTACTCATAGTCTTTTTCCTGTATAGCTTTTATGAACATTACACATTGATAACATAATAATAGTGTAATATTCGACTACGGATTCAGTTATCTTTATTATTAAGAAAAATGTCCTACATATACGTCATATATTGATGATAATAAAGCTTGTGTCAATATATCATTTTAAAAACATCCGTATAAATAACCGGTGACGTGAAAATAGGGGCGTGGTTAAGCCAGTCTTTTCTCAGAAAAGGGAAATTTCTATACTTCTAGGAAAAGCAGAAAGTGAAATATGCAATTCTTTTTGACTTTGAATATGAAATACGGTAAATAATATTATTGTTAATTAAATATCGATGTTGCTTTGAATCATGGAATAAGAGGTCGGTGTCTGTTAATATATATATATAAAGCACAATAGAAACTTCTGTTTTAGTATTATTGCACTATATAAATAGAGGATTATTATTATTTTTATTATCGGATTCGACACTCTGACTAGAATTTATTATTATAATTGGTAGTATTATATATATTGTAGGATACGACTATAATTTATAATATTATAATTGGTATGGTATATATATATTGTAAGATGCGACACTGTGGCTTTACATACACCACAGAGTAAATACTCTGTGACATACACCGAATGTTATTCTCGATAAATACTAATGTATAGGCTATCTATTTGACTGTCAATAGATAGCCTATACAGTTACAATGACATTGTTATTGTTAACCTTATTCACGGGTATTTTTTTTTCTTACCAGACCATACGTAACTACTAGGTTTTCCAAATTCGTGTAATCTCCAAACATAATTCCTAGTAAGGTTTTCTAAATACCATGGAATATTTCATATTTCCATTGTATTTTCTAGCAAGCTGTTTCTGATATCGTGATTGTATCCTGGTATTTTACACTTCTACGTAGTATTTAATTTATGAGGAAGAATGAAATCATTTATCTTCTTATTTTATAAATAGAAGATTTGGAGAGCTGCATCGGTTCATAAAGGAGTCATTTTCAATTTTACTTGATTCGTGATTTCGTCAAGGAGTTAAAATAAGTACTATCTAAGTACACCAGTTTTTTTGTGTTTTAGGTAAGTCTAATCTAAAGGTTATTCAAAATTTATTACAATTATTTACATGACAAGAGTGATAATACCTCTTTAAGACTGCTATAAAATTTCCAAAGATTTTAGTTACTAGTCATCTCTTCTCTGCAATTTGATAGGTACAGAAACATAACGGGTTCCTATTATTATCGAAGGGTGAAATATAGCTTTATCTTATTTGAGCTGTATTTTGCACACCATTGAATATGATTTGCATTTTCGCTGCTACTCCAAAACTTCAAATCATCAGCCACACTTTTTCTTTGAACTTTTGTATTGATAAACTACGACACATACTTATGGAGAGATACTTATGGAGAGAGAGAAAGAGAAATGGGGTTTAACGTCCACTCGACACAGAATAGGTCATTTTGGGACTAACATATGGTTTTTAATTTCATTTCAATAATTCGCTTGCGCGTAGGGGTCTTTAGCAGTGGGAGGAAACCGGAGGACCCGGAGAAAACCCACGCGGCTGGACAGGCAACCCTATACTCCTTGTCACGTACAACCGAGGATTCGAAACCACGCCAGTTGGCTGAAAGACAGACCTTATGATACAGCGCGCGCGTGCTAACCATTCGGCCAACCATTCGGCCATCCACCCCCCCCCCCCAATACTTATGGAAAAACAGTTACTACTTTATTTTGGCGACGTTTAAAAGAGTATTCTCTTCATGTTTTCAAGCAAGTAAGTAACACATGTGGAAGGCAATTATATATATATCTGCACGCTTTGTAGTTATACTCTTTCCTTTTTCTTTTTTCAAGACTTAAAATGAGCAGCAAAGATTCCCTTCCGAAAAGTCCCACTGATGAGGTATCCTCACACAATATCTGTCTCCAGCATCCAGCAACAGACAGCGGTTGTTTGCAGGGATCAACAAGACCAGTAAATTCGTGTAATGATGACATCAGTCCCAGACCTTGTCCCAGGAGCAGTGTTAGTACCTCGGTATATATCAGTGGAAATCCAGATTCCAACAGAGTTATATGTTCACATACAAGTAGTTCCAACAGCTATCCCGATGATGATTGGATGTGCACCTTATGGGGCTATATATTCTGCTGCAACGAAATGACTCGATACAAACGGACACAAATCTTATGGATGTGGATATCAGTGTTGTCGATTTTCATTGGTTTGACCATCGCATTGGGCGTTTTCGGTATAAATAAATTTGATACAGCGCCAAAGGATATGCGTATCATCAATCATAAATATTCAACGATTTTTTGTCACAGTTTGACTTTGCATTCGGACGCCAGGTTCAGAGCTTATCGATTCACCGGAAACCTAATAATCGCACCCAATAAACGAAATACATTTAACCATGAATATACAAGATTTGTGGAAAGCGGAGGATACGTATACTTTAATTATTATGTACTAACTGGCTCTTACGTTAATCTTGTCAGCTGTTCAGATGATTTTGTTCAATTGTATATCATCAAAGGGCAGGGATATTTTGATCAATGGAAAACTAACAAGAATTGCTCCGATTGTTACTTGGCTATGAAACCCGTGAATACGAATGGCTGTTTCCTCCATTACAACAATTATTCATTATCCATTCAAGAAACCGATACGTATTATTTCGTTTTTATGAACCGTAAGGTTAGTACCTGGGTAACTGCTAACTTTCATGTTATTAGAACTGTTTATGACTTGACCGGGACAACACGAATATGTAACAGTAAACTAGAATGCCGTATACCAATTGAATATAATACTGATCAAAGAATAATGTATCATATATCACCAGAGTCTGTATATAGTGCAGTGGATATGTCTTCTAAATGTGAAGCTCGATTATCGATATATTTGACAATATTTGTTTTTGGATCGGCACTCATTGGACTGACCCTGACATGGCTCATATATATTGTTTGTTCCGACCCTAAACGTGAGAGGATACTTCCGGAAAGCGGTGAGAGTTTGATTATAAACCGACTACCTGACTCTATGCTTGCAGAACGAACGCCATTGTTTTGGAAAAAAAGATATGCTGATCCACCGAAATATGAGGATATATTTTACAAATTAACAAGCTGTACTGCGCGTCCTCCGTCTTATGATGAAATCGATAAAGATTAGGAAACATGTTGACTGGATGTTGTCTAACAATATCGGTAAATAGATTATAGAATTTAAACTGTTTATATTTATCTAAAGCCCTTTGTCAACATTGGGGACATCAACCAATGTGTTGGTTTGTTGAATACATCAAGTTGAATATGCAAACAGCATTGGATCGTATCAAGAAATTATGGTACGATATCTCCGACAACAATCGTTGTAGTGGTAGCGGATAGTATCAGATCACACTCAAATATATCAAGCCTAAATAAAACCTTCAACTCCGCCTATAAGTTACATAGAACGTAGACTGCACCACTGCGTTATGGCCACAGATCACTAAAGATTTCCCCATTGACTCCAATGTTAATTCTCGTATCTTAGACCGGCTCTAACTTTTTCCCAAATTTTCGTTGGGTAGAACGCTTTCTACCACAGATGGAGCAACATGTGGCAACCACTTGCCCAAAAGCACGTATGAGGTTCTTCATGAAAAACTTGAGATACACAAGCTGGAAGTAGAGACAAGTAAACATGCAATTTCAGGCCCTACATTTCAACCTAACCAACCTCTCAACTCTTGTATCCTTCCGCATCAAAATTATGAATATTCACCAAAACCTGGCAGAAAATGTATTTTCAAACCCTTTTCTTCGATTCTACACCAAAAAGTCAACAAAAATCGCCATGCAAAAGGGGGAAAAGGGAGAAGAAGACTAAAAATAGCTTTGGCGTAGGAATATTTGGTGATCTGTGACGGCGTAGGAATATTTGGTGATCTGTGTCCTTATGTTTCCTTTTGCTTCTGAACCTCAGCGCGTCGTTTGATACCATAGATCAGTGGGTGTCTTAGTGAAACGTCTATACCTATCAAACAGATCTGGTATAGTGGTTTGAATCATATTTGACTGACCATTCATAGAAAGGAGTTATTAATAACTGTGCTTCAGATTTGCTTACGTCTCCTGGACAACATCTGAACGTTAAGATATATTAAAATTAAGCAGTACAGTAACACATATATATGGAATAAAAGTTACGTAAAAGATGTATTTCTTGCGACGTTTTCTTAAATAGTTTTACACTTTATAATTTATAATATTTTATAACTTATTTTTATATTTCATGGATGTGTGTATCTTATCAATACTTTTCTTATATTCTATGGATGTTTTTATATTTTATAAATGTTTTTAAATATTTTATAAATGTTTTTTAATATTTTATAAATGTTTTTAAATATTTTATAAATGTTTTTAAATATTTTATAAATGTTTTTAAATATTTTATAAACATTTTCAAATATTTTATAAATGTTTTGAATATTTTATAAATATTTTCTTAAAATTCAATCCATAAACATTTTCTTAAGATTAAATACTTAAATATTTTCTTAAAATTTAATACTTAAATATTTTCTTAAAATTTAATACTTAAATATTTTCTTAAAATTTAATACTTAAATATTTTCTTAAAATTTAATACTTAATTAATTTTTTTTTTTAATTTAATACTTAAAAAAAATTTTAAAATCTAAAACTTAAATTTTCTCTTAAAATTTAAAAGTATTAAATTTTAAGAGAAAATTTAAGTATTAAATTTTAAGAGAAAATTTAAGTATTAAATTTTATACTTAAATGTTCTCTTAAAATTTAATGCTTAAATTTTCTCATAAGATGTAATACTTTAATTTTCTCTTTCATAAATATTTTCCTAAAATTTAATACTTAAATTTTAATAGTTAAATATTTTCTTAAATGTTAATAGTTAGATATTTTCTTAAATAAATATTTTCTTAAATTTTAATACTTAAAACTTTTAATAGTTAGATATTTTCTTAAATAAATATTTTTTTAAATTTTAATACTTAAATATGTTCTTAAATTTTAATATTTAAATATCTTCTTAAATATTTTCTTAAATTTTAATAGTTAAATATTTTCTTGAATTTTAATAGTTTAAATATTTTCTTAAATTTTAATATTTTCTAAAATTGAAATACTTAAATATTTTCTTAAATTATTTAAATACTTAAATATTTTCTTAAATTATTTAAATACTTAAATAATTTCTTAAATTATTTAAATACTTAAATAATTTCTTAAATTTTAATACTTAAATATTTTCTTAAATTTTAATACTTAAAACTTTTAATAGTTAGATATTTTCTTAAATAAATATTTTTTTAAATTTTAATACTTAAATATGTTCTTAAATTTTAATATTTAAATATCTTCTTAAATATTTTCTTAAATTTTAATAGTTAAATATTTTCTTGAATTTTAATAGTTTAAATATTTTCTTAAATTTTAATATTTTCTAAAATTGAAATACTTAAATATTTTCTTAAATTATTTAAATACTTAAATATTTTCTTAAATTATTTAAATACTTAAATAATTTCTTAAATTATTTAAATACTTAAATAATTTCTTAAATTTTAATACTTAAATATTTTCTTAAATTTTAATACTTAAATATTTTCTTAAATTTTAATACTTAAATTTTTTCTTAAAATTTAATACTCAAATATTTTGCTAAATTTAATACTCAAATATTTTCTTAGATATTTTCTTAAATGTTAATAGTTAAATATTTTCTTAAATTTTAATAGTTTAAATATTTTCTTAAATTTTAATATTTTCTTAAATTTTAATATTTTCTTAAATTTTAATACTTAAGTATTTTAATACTTAAAAATATTTTCTTAAATTTTAAAACTTAATTTTTTTCTTAAAATTTAATACTTAAATATTTTTATGTATTTTTCACAATATGGCTTATTCACACTATGCATACTCCCCGCTAAATCATTTATCTACCTAATTTAGCTTATCATATTGTCATGTACTTAATGTCATAGTTCATTACTACACAACCCTTACGGCTTCTCACCCCTTTTGACGATTCTAAATGATTGTCTCTCGTTGTACAATAATGTTTGCATTGTTCCTGCATATTTTGTATCTATAATTTCAATGTACTATGGTTTTATTCCTTTAGAGGCATTTAGTAACTGGATAGAGCAATAAACTATAACACATATTTATGGAAGAACAAGTACTTGATTTATTTGTGAGACGTTTCGAAAGGATTCTCTCAGTGTTTTAAACCAGTACAGTAGCAAATGGTTATGGCCATTATATATAATGTCTTGCATGGTTTTTGACTGCCCTACAAAAACATGTATATTTGTTGTATTGTATTAATGTCATTTTTGTAATTGTATCCTGCTCCACGCGGGCGTTTTTATGCAATAAATTTTACTTTTTTACTTACTTACTTACAAAGCTGATACTGTGCTTACTGGAACACGTTGAGCAAACACTCTTCGTGTAATACAAAGTAAAGGAGTTTGTTTAATGTTGTTGGAATTAAAAAGTCGTAATTAAAAGTGTACCAAATAAGTTGAAAGTGGTCAACAGGAACGACAAGAATATTTATGCATATCTATAACATTATTATATATCCGTGTCGGTCACGTTTTGTGATACTTCGGGCGCTATTGACAAAAAACGCCCATCGGAACCATGTATGTACAAATGGCTGGGACTGGCAGGTCTTCATGGTTATTCCTTAAGAGTATATACAAAATGACAAAATATCATACATTTTATCTCAATAGAAATCTGAGAACCAAATGTCTTTTGGTGGTTACCAAACGACTACGAATTTTATGTAGCGACACGGTACTAAATTGAGTCAGTCCGTATACGTAATTGCTTCTGTCCAAAGTTTATCGACACGAGATGTATGCAGTAAGACTACATTCTGCAAAGTGGCTATAAGTATTTAGGTAGTGTACAATACAGACTATAATTACTTGTTTCTTATTTTGATACTCATTTAAAAGCGACCCAACCAACGACCACAAAAACAGTGAGACTAAGCCAATGTAATTAAAAGAACACAACCACATGACCAAAAATCTATATTATCAATTGTGATCAAAGTAACCCCGTCCACCATATACGTGGGCCATAACCTAAACTAACAAAAATCCCATCAAATCCCAAAGTCATATGCGCTCTCCTGATTCTGTCACTTACAATATCACACGTCACCTATCTATGCTACACCGCCATGGAAAAGCAAACATAACTTATAGGAAATCTGGCTGATGCAGATGTGGGGGCCCTCGGAGACTATGTTAACTGTCTAAAGGCAGCAGTGAGTGGAAAGCTATTGGTAACCACTGTTAAACCTAATGATATGTGTAGGTGCATATTAAAAAGTACCCACTAAAAGTATATGTGTATTATTTCTAAATCGACTCGTGCATACAAAGGCAAAAAGGAGACACTTATTAACTCAAAGTATGAGCAAAATATTTATTTTGTACAAACGATTTAAGTTTCGGTGACAACTGATTAGGAAACTAAAAGACATATCAACATTATCGACAGAATTTCAGACTCCAACCAAAGGCCAAAAATTTTATCTTCACGAAAACTCAAATCTATTAAAATGGATTGTGACTTAAACAAATTCTTGAATAAATGTGATTCAGATTTGTTAAATTAGAAGTACTATTAGTGATTATAAAACCACTTCACATTTAAGCCGAGTACATATTGCTAACAACTTGTGTCATACTTTTGTGCTTAGGTTTATGTTTTGTGGCAGGTTAAATAATTTGATAATATTCTGAAACTTAATGCAGGGGAGATGACTCTTTGATTACTAAAGTGTCGTGTTTTAAAATTGATACTATCCCTTGTCGGGAAAACATCATTTTTAAATTTCAGGTTCTTGTTTGTGGAATTTTACTAATTAAATCCGATTCAGTACCTGATTGGATCATATTCTACTCGATGGTGTGATGTTGGTGGATAATCCGCTGGACTCACATTTTATCATATGTCGTCTTTTGACGATGTGCATGTTGGTGGATTAGGCCGTGGTTTAGTTGACACTATTTACACTCAATGACCGCCACATTGGCAATATAATCAGTAAAAATATACCCAAGACCTCTTCACCAACCCTGAACAAACATTGGACGAAACCTGGCCGGAAACCGGTGTTTCATCTACCTGATTATATAGAGAGTAGAGAGCGAGGTGTGATATCCACCTGATATTAAAGTTGTTGTAACATGAACTTTCACCCCATGTTTTATATTCCGGCCCCATTCAATTTACTGAGCTCATTAAAATATGTCTTCTTAACTAGATCTGGATGTCCATTGACACTTGGGCACATGACATTTTCCCCAAATCTTAGACTACTGAACGTGCGAAGTGATATGGAGTTTGTGAAAGTGGATATTGTATTACTCGTTATTTATATTATTCGCGTTCCAATTTACTTGTAATCGAATTTTTTTAAGTTTGGGAACAAACTATTTCACCGACTGATAAGTTTCACTTCAAAGGTCTTTGAAACAAGGTTTAATAATATAGGACAAAATACATCACCCTGTTTTATACCATGTCTGTGTGAGTTATTTGTGTTAGTTTTTGCAATTATTTTATGCAGTATACATATATTACACTTTATCTACTGCCATATCCAATACGTACGCTTGCATTAACGGGTTATCGTGTTATCAGATGTTATTAAGTGATAATTAGTCATATACACTTTAGACCACATAATGACGTAAAAACAATATAGAAAGGTGATATATCATTTAATAATCTGAAGGTCATTACAGACCTTTCTCTTATCTTCTTTACGAAAAGGAACTTCTTATGTTTTAAACTTGACCTTAGCATGTCGGTTGCGTAAAATTGTGAGTGAAACTACATGAGACAAACGAGACGAAAGCACGTACGGTTAACCGACACGAAGTAAAAAATAAAAGTCAATGTTGTAGGCCGACTATGTAAATACTCAAAAGACTCACAATTTAGTGCGACCTGGTTACACTAAAAATAGAACCACGTGATTTTTCAACATACATGTCGACATTTGCCGATACAGTCTATACAAGGTATTATGCAGTAGAGTGTAGTCAATTCAGATAAAAATCATTTAATGGATATATGTTTGTAACGGGACGTAGTAGAAATGAGGGTTAAAGGTAATTTTCCCAATGTTTGTGTGACTTTAGTGGTCGTTACTTTTATTTGCTCTATTTCGTGTGCTGGACCAGGAACCAAAGGTGTGTCACAAACTAAATCTAAAGAGTCAACAAAAAGAACACTGAATGAGGAAACGTCGACCCCTGTTCGTCGGTTACCCGTTACGTGTACAGGTAAATAAACATGTATTTATTTTACATCATTAGAAAACTAACCATGGGCGACAATGATATAACAACTACTGGCCATCGCTTTGTCATATTTCTTGCCTTTACGTCTTTTATATACGATAAATAAATGAATAAAAAGTTAATGCTGTTTTAATTTAAAACGGGGTTGCATTTTCTGAATGAAAAGATCTATACATTGATAAAGTTTACTACTTGATATTTCTTCTTTATGAAATTTTGTTAGTAGTAATAGTAGGTCTGGTGATGTTTGGGTTGGATAGTTACGTCTCATTTTTCGTGTACAATTTAAAGTCATCAACCAAAGGCACAAACACAAAGGAACATAAATAAAAGAATTGACTGTAAAATGGTTGGGTTGTATTAAATATACCTCCTATTTTGGCCAAAACTTATCAGATCAAGCAGTTTCAATTAAAAACTATACCCGATTTATTGTGATTCATTCCGATGTCCTATCAGTGATTTTGCGTCTTTTTAAAACGATAATCATCTAATTCCACAATTATAAAGATAAAAAGAATTGACTATAAAATGGTTGGGTTGTAATAAATATACCTCCTATTTTGTCCAAAACTTATCAGATCAAGCAGTTTCATTTAAAAACTATACCCCATTTATTGTGATTCATTCCGATGTCCCATCAGTGATTTTGCGTTTTTTTAAAACGAGAATCATCTAATTCCAAAATTATAAAGATAAAAACACATCGATTGTATAGATATTAGATGTTTTAGAAATAAACCCTGCACACACTGCTTCGGTATAACACAGCCAGTTTCAGTAGAATGTGAAACTGTATAATGTCATTACCCCCTTTATCCTCTATTGTTTAAAATGCACATATTCAAAACTAACTTACTTATACGTCGTATGTGAATCATTTTCGTTCCAAAGACTTACACCTAAGAAAATACGGACGGGTAAAATATGCATTTCCTTTAAACGAAATGAAATGAAATGGGGTTCAACGTCCTACTGTTCTGCTCCGACTGGGCTAATGAAGACGGACCCTTTAAACCGTTTACGATTGTTTCAATTGTGGTAATGGTAACATCTTTATAAACTATATTTATTTTTTCGGTAGATTACCAGGCGCTAATCGCTAAGATAAGATATCCAATTATAACAATTTTCATCATTGAAATGTCATTTATATTACGCTATCTGCAATATATAGGGCAGTGTGTATAAATTTCTTAAATAGTTTCTTGTGTCGCTCGCTTGAAATAATTTATTCGCATTAATTGACTTCGATTCTGTTAAGAAGACGGGGAATAGCATATACACCAGTCTCTGTAAAGATTAAAGATCTCCCGTACTTGTTATGGGTTAAGGAGTTGGGTATGCTGACTGTCCAGGATCGTTAGAAGATAAGAACCATAGGAGGGTGCAAACCCTGGTGCCCATACCCCGTAGTTGTTGGGTTAGGAACCAGGGCATAGAGATTGTCCCGAATAATTTGAACCAAACGCCAACTTAGAATAGATGTTCATTACCGATTCCTAACTGAGTGTAAATGCCTACTACAATGAGATGTGTCTAAAACGGTGCCTTGGGAGTTGATAGAGTAGTGGGAGACACAATATTTTCCCTAGCAGTTCACCTGTGTTGATAGAAAGAAATATTTTACAATTATACCGCCTTTCTTTCTGGTTGTGACTTTAGAAGTCTTGTACAGATTTTGAGATTATTGGATTTTCTGTGTAAATTAGATTTGGCGAATGGCACGTATTTAGAGCTTCAATTCTTCAGCAAAATTCCTTCACGTTTTGATTTTCCTCTACCATATTTAACTCTTTATCACCAATAGTATAGTTTTAAAAACTCTTTAATTATTTTAAATATAATTTTAAACATTAAAATCTCTGAACGTCAGTCGATGGATTAAGGAATCCCTTGCGAACTAAAATATTGTCAGCGTTGAATCTTTAAAAGGAACATTGGTCCAATTGAATTCAAACTGAGAGATACACGCCGTTGATCTTTTGATAATCATTTTAACGTGAATAAAAATTTGATATTTTCCGAAAAATGCAAATGACGCACGGAGATTTTATGAATCATAAAGCAATTGTCATAATTGTTGTTCATAAACCAAAGGAACATGCTATTGCCTTGCTAACTTGATAAACAATAATATTGAAGACAAACAAATGCATAAAAACGATCTGGGAAGAGAAACAAAGTTCACCTTAAGAGTTTTATACAGCAGTTTATAGACCTTGTTTGAATTGGTAATGGTTAACTACATATTGGGTTCAATTAAAGACTAGGTGAACGTCTTTACAATTCACTCATCCGTAGAAATCAATAAGGTGAATATGAGCAATAATTGAGAGGGCTTTTCAAATAATTCAAATAATATTAATACTTAACCACTCATACACAATTACCCTTTTAATGTATTAATATATTATCGTGGTGATTGAAGTACATTTTACCCTACCAAATAGGTTATAAATTCTTTAAGTATTGCAAAGTAAGTCTTTAATTACCGAAAGTAATCTTCACCATAGACTAATATGAATCAGTGAACTAGACCAGACTCACTGACTATCGCCAGTGCTTTCTGAACGGAGGACAACGTATACTATTCAAAAAAAGTAGGGGATATTTGATTTTGGGGGCATAATACTAAAATATGCAAATGACTACGAATAAAGTCACTATAGAACCTAACAGAAGAAACATTTCCAGTTACATGTGACGCCCAAACGCACCAATAGCTACCACATGGAATGCAGGTGATGCGTGGGATCATCATGGGGGTCCAACCCAAGATTTGCACGACTCTGACTTTGAATGTTACAGTCATTGTGGCATTGAATTCCAGGGTGGAAACATCAGTTTAATTGTTTTAGTGACCAGAAAACAAATTTTGATATGCGTCGGCTTACCCAAAATGAAAGGTTACGTGCCCTTGGCATGCTACAGATCGGCACAACACAGGCGGTTGTGGCGCGGACGATGAATGTTTCTCAGTCTGTCATAAGCAGGCTATGGTCCAGATACCGTGATACACAATCTGTACAGGACAGACCACGCTCAGGTCGACCAAGGGCGACAACTCAAGCCCAGGATCGATTTATCCGTACCTTGGCCTTGAGAAATCGTGTCATCACAGCAAATCAGATCAGCGCTCGTCTTCAAGCAGACACTGGTGTGAGAGTGAGTGGCCAGACGATTCGGAATCGACTGCACAGGGGTCACCTTCGCGCCCGACGTCCTCGCGTGATCCCTTGTTTGAGAGATCATCACATTCAGGCAAGACGTCGTTGGTGTAGGGATCGTCAACACTGGGATAATCGACGCTGGAGCAATGTGATGTTTTCAGATGAGTCAAGGTTCACTGTTGATTTTTTGGACAGACGTAGGAGGGTGTGGCGTCGTCGAAACGAGCGCTTCCAAGACGTTAACGTCATCAGACATGATCGATTTGGGGGTGGTTCTGTTATGGTGTGGGGAGGCATCACTGTTGCTGGAAGAACGGCTTTACATGTTGTTGCAGGGCGTGTTACAGGCCAGTACTACCGGGACAACATCTTGGCAGTCCATGTTGTGCCGTTCGCACGACGTCATGGCCGCCGTTTCATCTTCCAGGATGACAACGCAAGATGTCACAGGGCCAGGATCGTTACAGGTTACCTCCAACAACAGAACATCACCACATTACCTTGGCCAGCACTGAGTCCCGACCTCTCCCCCATCGAGCATGTCTGGGACATGCTTGGACAGAGGTTACGTCAACGTCAACAACGTCCTGCCAATGTCCAAGAACTTGCTGCTGCGTTGCAACAGGAATGGGACAATCTGGACCCAAATGACCTTAGACGTCTCATTAGGAGTATGCCACGTCGGATCAATGCTTGTTTGGCAAACAGAGGAGGATTTACCCGTTACTGACTTGGTTGTGATGCTGTGGTAACTTTGCTGTTTGACCCCGGGTATCATTTTACCGTTATAATGGTCAGTCTGTGCCTTACTTAGTCTAACGATCATTTGGAATAAATCGATGAATGTGAACTTCATTTCATTTTGTCATTTGTTTCTTCGTCAGTTTCATTAGGTGACTTTAATAACACTTAAAAATCAAATATCCCCTACTTTTTTTGAATAGTATATATTCCCGTGTACACATTGACGTGCACGTAAAAGATCCCTTGACAGTTGGAATTCCAAATAAGAGTAAGCTGTAGTGCCGCTGTCCGAGAAAAAAATTCCATCATAGCACACTGTAAGGCGTATGTCCGCCATCATTAGCCCAGGATTACCCCATTTCATTTTCATTTCTTTGACAATCGAGAGAGAGAGAGAGAGAGAGAGAGAGAGAGAGAGAGAGAGAGATGGGATTTAACGCTCACTCGACACAAACTAGGTCATTTCGGGACTAACTTATGGTTTAATTTTATTTTAATAATTCTCTTGCGCGTAGGGGTCTTTAGCAGTGGGAGGAAACCGGAGGACCAGGAGAAAACCCACGAGGTTTGACAGGCGACCCTACTCCTTGTTACGTACAACCGGGGATTCGAAACCACGCCAGTTGACTCAATGACAGGCCTTATGATACTGCGCGCACGTGCTAACCGTTCGGCCATCCACCCCCACCCCCTTCTTTGACAATCGAACGAATATCTAATGATACGTTTGTGTATCAGAAGTTGTATTTTTATACAGTTTACTTTAATCAAATGTAATTTTATAACTATAAGATACTATATAACTGACGAAAATAAATGGTGGTAGAGGGGGCAACGGATCCAGGCATCTATTTCCGCGGTGGGGGGTGGCGCATCAAATCAAAGTGTGGATTTAAATTAAGTTTTCTTTTTAAAATTATCGCTGTTAAATTCCTTGTCCAAGCTGTCCTTCCCACTTAATTTGAATAAAAAGTTTAATTTTCTGTTATTACAAAGCCTTCCTTTCTCACATTTCTGAATATTGGGCCCTATACTAGAGGTTTCGAAACATACAATCAAGGGATT